ATGCGCGCACAACAGCGGGCCAGAAATGTCCCGCCCACGACACAGATAGGGGCGGGGCCCACGTGGCTCTTCCAGCGCAGAGCCCAGGGCTTACAGTCAGGCCTGTGGGCACGGGCTTGGCTTAATGACTGGGGTTTGACTCGTTGCAGAGCGTTTCCTCCTACATCGCCCAGAACCTCAGATCGTGGGGCCAAATTTTATAAGAGTGTCAACAAATGGCAGCATTTCCCTGGAATTTGTGATTTCATTTCAGGTTGTTACAGATTGTGGCCGCGTGGCATAGTTTTCCGGGATTTGTTTTTTGGTAGATTAATTTGTCCAGATTTGATACCAGTACAGTATTGAGGCCGTCTGGTAATGTTATTGCTCCATGAATTGGTCTTACCTTGTTTATTCATGTGAAGTCTTCCAGTTTTCTTGCTGTTCTGCACATTTTCCTTTAGGTTTTTACCTACCAGCTTTTGTTGCTGTTTTACTCACTCTTCGTAATGAACCCTAGGATAATTTGGTTTTTTTTGGTATGTTGATCTGTCTGGTCATTCGGCTGAACCAATTCTTTTGGATTTTATAGGTAAGAATTCATCTATCTGTAAATACCAATTTTGGCTTTCCCCCTAAATTCAGTACTACTGTATAGTGGCCTCGGGTAGTTCTTTCCAGAAGTTATTTGGATTGCATATTACATGTTGTTCATGTTTTTTGAAGGTTTCTGCTGTGACTATTTCTTCTTTCTCTGAACACAGGATATTTGGAAATCAGGGTTTTGAACTCAGATCTGTTAATATGCATTAGTATGACCCCCACTTCCACACCCCACTTTAATCCTGCACATATATTTCTCAAGGTTAATGCCCCCTTTATGTCCAGGGGTTCCCAAAGGTGTGGACGGAGTTGGCGAAGAATGTTTTACACGGAGACAGCGTTCAGAACTCTCTAGCTTTCCTTAGTCTCCGTGGATCTTCCCTGTGCCTGGCTGAGGCCACAGAAAGAGATCCCAAGGCAAGCTGAGCCTTTATTTTATAGTGAGCGGTAAACAAGGTAGTGGTTACCAAAGTTACACTGTTTTTGTGAGTTTCAGTTGTTTTTGTTCTTGTGAGTTTCACTTGTTTACACCATGGTTATACTTCTTGCACTTCCTCAGCCCATTAGCTTCCCAGATAAGATCTAGGGAGTATTACAAGGTCAAGCCTAATTATGCTAAGAGGACTGTGCCCTCTAAGCTGGGAATTGTTTGTGACTTTGCCCACAGGTCAGTCCGAGGCTTAACCCTATATCAGCTCCCCACAAGTGTATTGTTTTTTCTTCACCAGGAATTGATATAAAATAAAAATGTAAATAAAATTGGAATCTTATTGACATAGATTAAAATGATTTCATATTGTAAAAGAGGAAAAATATTTTACATGGATCTGCCTCTTTAAAACAAAAACTGTAACTCTTATTTTGTAGGAAAGGAGGGCTTTTTACTCTAGAATACCTCATTTTGTGATCACTGTTTCAATGATGAAGGAATTACGAATTGGTAAGCAAACCATGCCATCACTTATACTTTTTATGTGGAGAAGTTGGATAAAACACAAAACTAGTATTTTAGTAAATTCACTTTAAAATGTTTTACAACAATATGATCTCCCACTCCCCAGGAATACGGGGTGATCTTGAACTTGATTAGAAACACTGAAAACGAACACACAGAACCACCTAGTTGGTCTAGAGGAAGGAGCTTCCTGAGTTTGTCTGATCTGACATGTTGACCATCGACTGTACCAGGGTTTACCAGCAGCTACAGTGTAGTTCTTGAGAGTGTTTCTATTGTGAACTTATTTCTTTGAATTTAACACTTTGAGATGATTTCTGCACTTTAGTTTTTTGGCATCTTGAAAATTTCACAGAAGAGATTAAGGTTATTCCAGAAACCATGGGTATAAATCACACCTCTTTTTCAGGTTAATTGTTCAGTTGTAAGGTGCATGGTCATCGCCTGAGTGAGCTGCCCTGAGTGTCCCTCAGCCGGTGGCACTTGTCCTTGCAGGAGCAAGGGAGCCAGGCCACATGGGGGCGGGGGGGGGGGGCGTGCTCAGTTGCATGAGAATGAATTAGGGCTCAGGCAAACTGGGTATTTTTTGTTAACCTCAGGTCTATCAAGAGTCAGTAGGACTCAATCTTGACTTGAATATACACCTTCAAACCCATACAGAAAAATGACAAGAACATAATCACTTCTGTTCTTCACAGAATACTTAGGATTGCAACAAGAACAGTCACAAGTTTATATAAATACCCATTTTCATACCAATCTATGAAATAAAATTTTTCTCAAGAAGAATGGGAGAACTGTGTTTAGCAATCACAGTTTTGGATGGGAGTGCTTCTGACACCATGGGAAGTTGTAATGATGTCTTCCCTAGGTTTTAAATTCCTCATTCATTTATGACATTTTCTCCATCATATACTAAATTCTGCCCATCCTCACATTAATTTACTGTTATTACCCAAATACTTTTAAGTTATTTGTATACATATACATACACATATATACATTAAGTTGAACCTTATTAAACTCTTAATATTTGTTTTTGATCTATAAAAACAGTTTTCCATATGGTTGACCCTAACAAAATCTGGACTTTAGTTGGATGTTTATATCTCCTTTTTTATATGCTATGTGGTACTTTCTTCCTTATTTCAGCAGGGAGAATGAAGATGCCTACTCTTGTCACCACTTATGCAGCCTTCAAAAATTCTGTCTGCTGACTACTGGTGACCTTCATGAAAATATTTAGAGGTGTAGTAATTCAGGATCTGACTCAAAAATGTCTGTTCCAACTGGACATAGTGTCTTGTAATTACACCATCCATCTACTGATCTGGAACAATCCACCTTAGAAGACGGCTTTTGTAGGCATATGGTCAAGTCTAGAACCAGCAGACCAAATACCAAGCATTTTCAACTGGGAATTCTACACCTGTGTCCTCATTGACATTTAACATAGAGTGCCTACCCTCAGACCCCATGCTAAGCACCAGCAAAAAAAGAGATGTCCCAGACCTTGCTTTCAATAAACTTTCAAGAGATAGAAAAATATAAATAAGAGGATATCCTAAGTACTTTAACTTTAAAACTGGGAAAGAGATAAATATAAAAAGAAGACTGAGTTAAATATAAAAAGAAGACAGCACTTAGAAAGTTTTAAACTGACTTCGAACGCCAAGGGCAAAAGCCAAATACAAATGTGGACTGAGTTGAAATTCAGTCACCGCGCTAACCAAAGGTTTCCTCCACGGTCCTGGACCCAAGACGTCCTTGTATCCCCCCAGAAACAGTGCCTAGAGCTCCTCCAGGTCAGTTAAATCCACTGCCACTTTCAAGAAGATGGTGTCATCTTTAATGTACATGTTCTTGGCATTCTCCAAAGTGGAGTGAGCCACGAAGCGCGGACAGCCGGAGGCAATGTTCATTTCCCCGTCGGGGCGTTTAAAGCTGCTGCTATTGGGGTCAGCCTTGAAGGTCTCCATAATGTGGTTCTTTTTGCCACTCTGGTCCAAAAGCATCAGGGTGACCCTCTGCCGGAACGGCCACTGCAACAGTGAGTCAAACTCCCCTCGCATCACCACAAAGTACAGCGACAGGTGCGTCCCCTTCCCGGACCCGTCCCCGTTCAGGTAGGCTCTGGCGCAGAGGCGGTAGCCGCACCGGCTGGTGTAGAAGGGCTGGCTGAAGATGGACACCGTGTGCCCGTCCAGCGCCTCCCTCTTCTTCATCGCATAGTCGGTCACCTTCCAGATGAGCTTTCCATTGTAGCAGGCGCCTTCCAGCAGTTTGAATCGCTCTTCATTTTTATTCAGCTGTGCTTTATGAATATTAATGTGGGCGTCGTGTTTGTTCGTCTCCCCTTCCAGAACAACTGCAAACAAACAAACAAACAGATGCTGTAAGGCCTGAGTTGTTTTTAGAATTTGCCCAAAGTGGAATTTTGCTATCTGAAAAGAACCGATAAAATCCTGACATCCTAAAGATGAAGTGAATTCGATGTCCGCCAATGGACCATTTGTATTACTAATAGCAACTCTGTGACTCTCATGTCTTGGCAAGAGTGGCGCCAAGCAAACTTGCATGTGTCCTCTTGACCTGAAACTCACCCACATGTAGAGAAGACACTCAACATTCCACTAACGTGTGCGAGCCTGTGAGGCCCCTGTTTTCAAACCGGGATGCTTTTAAACAACCAAACCCTCTTATGTTTGTCTGTACATCCCTGCCTCCAGCAAATCTATCGGCATGGCACCAATTTTCAGCAGCACTTGCTCACTTCCTATCTCTGTCTCACATTTTGGGAATTCTGGCAATATATTCAATTTTTTCATTACATTTGTGATGGTGATCTGTGATCAGTGATCTTTGATGTTACTAGGGTAAGAGCCTTCACCCAGCAAGACGATAACGACTCACTGAAGCCTCAGATGACAGCATTTCTTGGTGATAAAGTATTATTTAATTAAGGCATGTACATTAGTTTTTTGTCAGACAACTCTATTGCACACTTAATAGACTACAGTATAGTGTAAATGTAACTTTTATATGTACTGGGAAACCAAAACATCCGTGGCTCACTTCATTGCGATACCCGCTTTATTGCGGTGGTCTGGAATCAAACCCGCAGTATCTCCTAGGTATGCTTCCACTTCAAACAGTGTTCCGACCACATGTTTTTCTTAGCTTTCTCCTTATTTCCCATTCTCAATTAAAAGCCACCATTCCCTTGTTCCTCATTCCCTTGTTCCTGGCATTTCCTGGCCCTTTTCTACCCTTTGCCTCTTCCGGCCCCCATTATGGCTCTTCATGATTTTTGCCCGAGTAGCCAGAATATCATGCTGTTCTGTTTCACAAATACCAGATTCAACCAGTTTCTCGTGGACAGCTGTGACTCCATTTGGCCAGGTGTTTGCTTGTTTCATGAACACATGCAGACAAGAGTCATCAAAAGGGAAGCATAAAATATCAGACATACCTAATCTTTGATCATTGCTTTCTAGCAGGGTTATTTTCTCTTTCACTGTATCAATCGCTTCTACCAAAGGCCTCAGATCGAATTTATTTTGTTGCTGGGTTGCCATCTGTAATAACTGACGCACTTGAGCTTCTAGCCAAGCCGACTTGTCAATGTGACTGGCAAGAACCTTTCAGTACAAAATGGACATTAATATCTTAGTCAATTAATATCTTAGTGATTCATCAAGATGCAATTTTCAATTCAAACATTTCACATTTAATTAATCAATTAATGAAATGAAAACTACATAGTCCAGAACAGAAAATTCAATGAGGATGCAGAGAGATTAACGGTGTATATCTTCCTCGTCCTCGTCCTCGTCCTCGTCCTTCCCTTCCTCCTCCTCCCTATCCCAGCTCCTGTTCCAAATCTTTAAATTTCTCACCTGATTTTTACTCCTCTCTCAATTTCTCTCCACTTAGTTATCTAACCTCTCTCTAGATCTCTGGTCTCATGCTATCTCTCCTCTTACCTATCGCTGCCTTCTTAGAAGCTACCCTCCGGATTCACTTCTGTTCTGCGAGAAGGCAGAGAAGGAGCTGAAGTCAGCCACCTGTTCTGGCCTGAGCACTACAGGTGTCCACAAGTGCCCTGAGATGAGGCCTGGCCTTCTGATTGCTCTCTTTAAACGGAAGAGGTTAAATACAACTAAAACTAGAGTTCCCTCTCCAATGCTTTTATTCTGACTTCTCACTGTGTTAGAAAAAGAATTTAAATGGTAACATATAATGCATTTCCTTTTCTACACACACACACACACACACACACACACACACACACACACACACAGTGTGCTGACAAAGTATGCAAACTATATGGCCTGCCATCTTCTTGGACCCAAATTTCAAAACTATTGCCCATACCACATGTCTTTTTCACTATAAATGTTATTATTTTATAATCACAATAAAGACATTATTCATTAGGAATTTGTTTCTGGTTATTTCACATTCATGATTTACAAATAATTTTGCTATATCTGAGTGATATTTAAAGCATTTTCTTCCCAAGAGAATTAATAGTTTCACTTTGTTGACTATAAAATGCAGAACTATAGATGTTCTCAATGAACCAAGTGACTAATATTGGCCCAACATGAATTAAAACCCTAAATGCCATAAATGACATAAAAGAATTAATGTTAAATTTACTGATGTTGCTAACTGTACTGGGGTTCTGTAAAAGATCTTTATTCTTACAAAATACATACTAATGTATGGAGGGGTAAAATGCCACAATATATGCAGCTTATTCTCAACTGGTTCGAGAAGAACAATGGGAGAGGCCTGACTGGCATGCACAATGGTTAGAGCATTGGCCTGTAGATCAAAGGGTCGCAGGTTCGACTTTTGGTCAAGGGCACATACCTGGGTTGCAGGTTTGATCTCTGGCCCCAGTCAGGGTGTGTGCGGGAGGCAACCAATCGATGTGTCTCTCTCACATCAAAGTTTCTCTCTTTCTTTCCCCCCTCCCTCCCTCTCTTCCACTCTCTCTAAAAATCAATGGGAAAAAGATCCTTGGGTGAGGATTAACAACAAAAAAACTGATAAGAGAAACCCTCACTGCCAATTAATTGAAGTCTAAATCTTGGCTATGAGTAGCAAGGTCGTTTCTCACCTGGATGTTTGAGAGGAAGTTTCCATTTTTGCCGAACAGCTGTGTGAACTGCTTGAACTCCTTTTCGAATTTCTTTACAGTTTCTGCTAGCTGCTGGATTTGACTTTCTTTCCGTTCTAGGCTCTTACACAAGTCAGAAATCTAGTAACAGGAATGTGAATGAGGTCATTTAAATGCAGGCATACACATTAAAATAAATATACTTCTAGGAAAAGATTGCAGGTAAGAAAGTGTTTTGAGGAAAACTATGTATGTGTGTGTGTATGTATATATTTCTAGGAAAATATTTACAGGTAGATTCCTATATAATTCTAGGAAAATACTTGCAGGTGCTTTGAAAAATACCTGATCCACAGATGTCTCATCAGCTTTTACTATGCCTAACCCGCTATGATGGTTCATCTAATGATAGTGACATCACGTGGCTGAATTTACTGAACTGGTTCTCTTCATTCACTCAGTATGCATTTATTACAGAACCACAGTTGCTGATCACCATACCATGTTAGAGGCCATGTGCATAGTATCAAAGTAATAGCTGAAATTTCATGAAG